GCAGGTATGGTTTTTGCTTTTCTCAGTTTCCTTCTGGGATATTTTTCTTATTCTGACCAGATCATGAGGAGTCTAAATAACTGTAAAATGGGCCAGCAAGAAAACTCAGTTGGACTAGATTCTTTCAAGCTAACCTACCTGCATTCAGCAAATGAACAAGAACGTACAATTCTTTTCAAACATGTATGTTGTGATTTTTATAAAAATGTTTGAATTATAGCAAAGAATAATTTACATGAAATTCAAAGCCACATTGGACTTTCTATTGACAGTATTTTTTGGGAAGAGTAATGTCATTTGAGGGGGTGGAGAGGATTTCTTGTTGATTTTGACTCCCATCTGACCACTGTTCTCTCTTTTCCCGATTAGAAACTGTTCTTCAGTAATTTGTCATAGATAATAATGACACTGCTGCTTTTTGGCAATGTTTCTATTAAAATCTGTGTTCATTCCATGATTAACTCTGCATCCAATAGAATCAGTCTGTCTTTCCTTGTTAACCACCTGTGTCTTATTGCTGGAGATAGGGTCAAGCCAGTGTCTTAGAATACTGATGGCATATTCCTATTCCTATTCCTATTCAAATTTCTATTGATGCTTTAAAATTTAGGTAAATTAGCTCTTAATTTGACACCATCTGATGTTTGTTTAATTATTCAGTAGGAGGGGAATTTCATCAAGTTACAGCTTCACAAAACTGAGTAAGACTTTCCCTCAGCACATATAGATTATTAAATATTTATTAAGACATACACACACACTGTCTCCCCCTATTGGCCAACAACCAGAAGCAAATATTTAGCTGACCTACAAACCCAGCATGTATTTTCTAAAATGAAAATATTTCATGTGAGGTATAACCTTGATAAGGAAGAGAAAAGAAATACCACAGTGCCAGATATTCAAAACAGAGCATTTCATCAAGATCAAGTTAAAATAGCAATAGAAAAAAAATCACGTAATTGTGCCTTGTACCTTTTACTGGTACACAGTTTCAACAATATGCCTTGCTTTGAACATGCTTCTGCGCTCCTCGTTTTCAAAACCAGTTGATTCTTTGGCACTTACTTTAAAACCTGTCTTGTTGGTATAACTTGTTTCATATGATTTTTTTTTCCCTAC